TAGGCGTGATAATTTACGCTAGTAGTAACAATAAAATTTTACTCCCTACTATGAATGTTATGCACTGTAGACACAGTACTAGTTGGTTGGAACACCAAAGGCTGTAACTGGTTGTGTGACCATTTAACGTGCCCGCGACTTCGCTCGTACGAAATACTAACTTGGATAGCATTTCAATCACTTAGGCTAATCACTTAATATTATTAAGTTTTATGCTGAAACATATTAAACCCACAAAATACTTGCACAAACTTCACATATTCCAATACATCAAAATCAGTCCATGACAATGGTCCCAGGCTCCTGTCCATCAATGTACCAAACCTCATCCAAATCGGCCCAGCAGTTCCCGCTTGAAAGAAGGTCAGATAGACAGACAGACAGCCAGATGAAGCCACCCTCGCATCAATAAGAATGTTCTGTCCCTATATTATGGAATAGTCAATGATAATTTTCTTTTTCTAATACATAACCTGAAAATGATTAACTCACTATGTTAACAATTTAATGTTTCTTTTCCTTCAAAGATGTTACATTTTCTATTGAATGAACGTTTCAAAAGTCAAGACTTGTACCTTTTTTATATTTAATTACCAAATTTGTTTCCCAGCTTATTTGAGTTCTTTCAACCCACAACACAGAGTCACTAACGGTATTTAATTTTGTTTAACTTGATGGACAATATTTAAATGCCACTATAAGTTTTCAATTTATCAGATGTTCAACTATATCTATATGTAACAATGAATTGCTAATGACTACTCTGAACATAGTAAAAGTCTTTTTCAATATAAGCGTAACATAAATAAACATAAAGAGACAAACTCTTTGTCCCTTCTTTTCACAGGTCAGCAAATGAACTTGTCATTGCCGTTTATTCTCTAATGTTATTTACAATCAAACAGATAGCTATTTCTGTATGAAAATAGTTAAGTTACTTGTAGAACTAAGGGATAGCATTTTATTCCACAATCGTTTTTTATTCAGCTTATAATAATCCAAATGGAATGCCATTTAAAAGTAAAATTATATATTATGTCAACAAGATCTCTTTGATTTTAAACACACTTTTAGGCGGTGTGCTAAAGTCGTTTAAATAAGTCGATAGTGCGATTTTGGTTCAATATTTCATAAATCGGTATTTCTACTCCCTAAATTGAGTTTAAAGCCGTTAAAACTGAATTCAAGTTGACTCACCAATTTTTTGCGGGTTATTGATAACAAAATCCAGCTTCAACATACCCCGACTGCGACTAGTGTGTCCTCAGCGAGGAGTTGCCTAAACAGCGACTTTTACAATGAATTCCTCCATGACTTGGTCCAATAATTATGCTATAAATAAAGCTATTTCAGAAAGAAAACATTAACCTTTATTTATTCTATTTTACGGCAACTGTAGCATGTCATTATCAAAGAAAAACACGTTTACGCTCTTATTTTTACCAAATTAGAGCAATAAAATCAATTTCAGATGTATTTTAAATACAGAGTCATCTATCGCCGGAAGCGGAACTACTTATCTGTTTCACAATTATTGAATCGAAATTCGTTTAGTGCACAGTACATCACGAGATTTGAACTTACATATACTCGTAGTTAATAGTATATCTGGAACCTTCACCAATCCAGCATTAGCCACGGATTCGTTAATAAAGCCAATTATGATGACTTTAGTAACTGACAATATCATATTAGAAATTGTATGCGTTATACATTTTGTAAATATTATAACAAAACGTGACTAATAGTCAATCACATTTTATATCATATTGTACTACGTATTTTGTAGTAAGGTGCTTATAACAGGGTTAAAAGAATTACTTCTCAAAAAGACAAAGGAATAGTCACTTACTTGAAAACAATATCGTACAATGTACATAATATAGTCGCCATTGATTTGACTTAAAATTACTTTACTTTTTTACAAAAATCTAAAATGTATTCAGCTAGCTTAGATTTAAATTGATTAAATGAACTTACATTTATAAAGATGACAGTAACAACTTATAAAGCTGTACTCCTTCGTATGTTTTACACATATCTCTTTCCACTCACTTTCGGCACAACAATTAACTTGCTCGCCGAGTGCTGCGTTTATAAATCTGTAACTTTACAAGCGACATGTTATTGATGATTTGTTTTGTTGATGATTTTTCTAATTATAAAACATGTACTGTAGGCATATAGTTGATTAATAGTCATTATTTTGATTTTATTGTAGATAATGTATTTCCTCTCACCTTAATTTAGTTACCTCTCACCTTAATTTAGTTAACAGTTTGCCTCACAGAAATTTTAGCTTTAAACTTCTTACCACTCGTAATATCAATTTATCGATTAGGGTTTCAATCTTCTTAATTTATGTACTTGACAACTTTTCAGGCTGTAAATGAACTTATCGATTTAACGATTAGATGATCTAACCAATTTAATGGTCCGCTATGCAGCTTTCATGTTTGCAAGACATGAATCATCTAACCAATTTAATGGTCAGCCGTAGTGCTTTTATACCTGTAACACTTCAATGATCTAACCAATTTAATGGTCAGCCGTGGTGCTTTTATACCTGTAACACTTCAATGATCTAACCAATTTAATGGTCAGCCGTGGTTCTTTTATATTTGCAAGACATCAATGATTTAACCAATTTAATGGTCAGCTATACTCTGTAGACAAGTGCGAAAGTTCTTCTTCTTCGTCGTTACAGTTTTGTCAGATTGGTCATGGTTATCAAGTATCAATGACCTACTTTACCAGTCGCCACCTAGTCGCTGCCTTTTTAGTACATTGGTGGTCCAAAGTATCTTCAGCATTCTTCTCCAGCACCACATCTCGAGCGCGTCTATCTTCTTTTTCTCCCTCTCGTAGGATCCATGTTTTCGACGCATAAAGGAATATGGAGAGTACAAGCGATCGTACAAACCGAGTTCTTTTTTCTTTGCATTCTTTGCAATTTCTCCATCGCTGACCTAGTGATTGCCATTCGTCGCTTTATCTCGTCTATACAACCGCCGCTATTCGTGCGAAAGTTGAAAGCGAAAGTGCGAAAGTACTTACACTTTATTGGAGGTGACTGTACCTATGTTATTGAAGTTATGTATACACATAAGGTTGACCGAGATTAACATCGCCGAATGCTATTATCCATCTACACACTATTTGTCAACCATAGGTCGAAGACAGTCTTAAAAATGCATTTAATTATTGTTTTTGGTCGAAATCATGACAATATATGTATATGTCGTGGATATACTACCCTCGTAGTAAAGTAATGTTTATTTTATCATTGTAATAGTTCGATATTTTCTTTTCTTAATCATTATTCATTTCCTGCTTCATCAATAGACCGGAATTAATTTGTATGTACACATGTATTTCGTTGTGACATCGTAGTGCACTTTGTAGTGAACAACTTAGACGGACGAGCACAGCAATGAATCTGTTTTTCTGATAGTCAAATATTGTGATCTTATTTCGATATTCAATTGGTTAAGTTTACATTCCGAACCGTTTTTTAAAACATTCACGGCTGGGAACAACTTAAGGCCACGTTTTACAAATAACTATCATATGTAAACAGAGAAGACTGTTGCTATTTTTGGCAATCCATTACCTACTTTTTTTTTGTAAGGTAAGGCAAAATAATTTAAACAATACTTTCGTCCATCAATTACTGAAATGTTATTTTTTTACACATTGGTCTTCTCCTTCCTTTTTTTTTCAAATACAATTTATTTCCGTACTCACGGTTTTATCCTCGTCGCCAATGTAGCATTCGTTGTGCTATATTTGGCTCGTTCACGTACCGACACGTGTTGCCGGCTCAAAGGTCTGACATCGACTGACGTCCCCTCTCTCCGGCATGTACTTATGGCGTGTACGCTCGAGACAAACAACACTACGTTTATGCATACACTACACGGGCAATATGTTGTAAACAAGATATCATAATTTTTGATAGTGATGGTATTATTGACAAAGGTTAATTGAATAAAACCTCCCCACATGTTTACCTAAATGAATTTTAAACGCCGTACTTTGTTGTGGACTATAACGTTGTTTTATGCCCTTAATACCCTTAAAGAGCACATGTAACCTTTTAGTACGCATAATAAAATAGTTATAAAGACAATGATACGAACTTTACCAGGTCATCTGAACGTAGAGGTGAGGGGATATGGCAATAATTTTCAATAATGCCTTTGTGGCTTAGCTAAAAGCCGAGAAGGGACTCGCAGTGATTTATTTTAACCATTATTAGATACGTGTAACCGAAGGGTGAGTGCTAAGGGCGCGTGAAGACAGATTTAATGGTTCGAACATTAAAATAAATGAGCTCTTTTTTATAAAAAGATATTCTTAATTCACTTTTTTAATATACGAAGCATAAATAATGCATTAGTTGCTCATTGCTGAACCATCCCAAAGATAATTGGCAATAGTGATTTGCACAAATATTAGGGTCAAGACGTATTAAAGTTAGTTGTAGAGTTCAAACTTTAACATGTATAATATCCAACTTGAATAGATGTTGGGAACTAATTCCAACTTCGTAGAAACTTGAATGAAGTATAATATGGGCCGCATACGCGTTAACTCAGCTTTTGAGCGGCTATCTATAGTGGTTTTATCTCGTGAGATTTCTAGGAAGCTTACAAGATATAAATAGATTGACTTGAGACTTGCAATGATTAAAAAATTTAAATTAAAAAAAAAACAGTACTCACACAATTTAAAAATTAAATAACACTACTTTACCCAAGAGATGACACGATCCATCACTGATTTAATGGAAAATGTTCAATAATAGTACACGTTAAAAACATTTTTGATCACAAGTTCTTGTGTTCGTGTTATACTGTGTCTGACAGATAACAACTAGCACATCTAGGTTGATAAATGCTTCTGACAGCTTTGATTGTCTTGTTAATTACGTACTGAGCTGGGAAGATGATGTAATCTATTATTAAAAGATAAGATTTTGAAATCAAATCTTTTACTTAGTTTCGATAAATTACCAATAAAATAAAATAATAGGATGTTTACGTAACCTTTACAATATATTATAGATTGATTCAACTAGGTCACTTTTCTTTTAACTTCTATAAAATAATAGCAAACTGTTGAAATAAATTATGTTTCTGTAATAATAGAACAACATATTTTTGTCTGTATGTAACATATATTTTTGCTTACTACGCTTAAAAAGTAATAAAAAAGCTCTCTGGTATCTATTCACGCCACATTTATGACGCAGTGAGAGTGAAACACAGCTTAAAGCTCACAATGAAAGCCTTTTGCCCGATTCAGAGGCAGTCAAGTGTGCTTTTCAACGCTTAGTGTTCGGTTTCCCCAAGAACGTGCCAACTTTACCAAAAAAACGTGGCTTGAAAATAGCAACGCACTTTCTTCCTTTTATAACATTCTATTTTATTACATAACATGTAGTTTACAATATCTTTTACGATTTGAATAATTTAACGTTAAAAATAAAAACTGTCAAACGGATTATTTATACAATGCAACTTGGCTATGAATGTTAATCTGTTATGCGATTGTTTTTGTAAAGAACTCGTGTTTATAATTAAATGAAGTGTCTATCATTCATAATTACTTTCATGATTCCCTTGTCACTCAGATGTGCTTCGGATTGGAGTTTAATTTCCACAGATTGTACCCTCTTTGACATAAAATGATTGACATAGAATAGTTACCTCCTAGACGGAAAACTTGGGATTAAATTGTTTTTTTTTGTCCTTTTTTATTACGGTTTTTTATTGACTCGTCTGAATTTTATTCATTGGAAAAGGAACGAAACTAATAAGTAGTGTTCTTAACGTCTATGCCTAAAAAGCTCGCTCTCAGCTTAAGAAACTTTAATTTAGTGCTCTTAATATCGGATCCTAAGTATTTTCCGATGCACTTGTTTTGAAGAACATAAAAATATAAACATTCAACTTTGCCTCTCGATATTTTACCGCTGTTTTTGTTTCCTTATGCCATCAATCGATGCTACGTAATTTTGAACGAAGTATTTCTCTGTCGTCAACTGTTTTGCAAGTAAACCGAATCAAAATATTTACTTTTCTTTTGGGAACATCCTTTGAGGTTGAGACTTTTGAATTTGTTTATCTTTAATTTTCCTTTAAGAATTTAGTGAGCTTGTATTTTTAGGCGTCATCTCGATGTTAAATGTTATATTCAGAGTTTGGTCGTTTTATTTTGAATGATGGTTAGAATTTATCTTATACAGAATTTAAAAATAATTATGTAAATTTTATGAATTAACTGTAATTTTGGACAAATTGAGGAAAAATAGTTTTCCTAATTATCTCACAGGTACTCTTAATGTACATTTAGCTCTTTTAATAGTGTTACAAGTGTTGATACCTAACGTTTATCAGTGATGGATGATATTGGAAAAAAATACACTGATTCAGCCTTGCAATTAGATATAGATAAAGATCCGACATTATAATGTAGGAATGTATACGTTAAATTATCATGAGCTTACCCGTACCTATTGATATTTATTAATTTCCAGCATATGATCAGCAGCATATCCCAGATGTAGATTGGTTACTAAAATTGGGAAGGTGATACTTGTTGACTGCACCATGTTTATTCATTGGTCTGGTTGGTAACTACGCTACGATATTTTAAATAACTTTTCTATTTAGCAGCATGACAATAATGTGGTCGTGGGTGCTGGTCGCGCTAGTAGTCGCCAGCGCGAGCGGCGAACGGGAGCGCAGAGGGTCGTCCCTGCGCGGCGCACTCGAGGCTCTCCAGCGGCGACAACGTGGACGCAGCCATGGTCCGATAATGCCTCCGCCTGACTACGAGGACATCTACGAGTATCTGCCGCCGCACGCATACCCAGGTTCGGGTACATTTATTTTAACTGACATCAAATGTATTATTAAATGAAAAATCATAACTTAACCCCATTGTATTCGCAGAAAACGACTACGTTTTAGATACTGAAGATACGGGTGAAGAGAGTGCTCCAAAATACATCTTTGAACTATTGGATGATGAAAACGAACGCTCCCCAGAAGGCGCATACGAATATAAAGTAATCAAAAAGAAAAGTCACCCTAATTCACTGAAAAAAGAATCCGCATTTCGTGAGAGAACCCAAAACTCCGATAACGACGTGCTCCGGAACATATTTATGAATCCGAACGATGAGGACGATAAAATGCAAGATCGCGTTGAGAATGATGCCGAATATGCGCTCCTCTTGAATCAACTGTGGTCTAAATATAAACAAAACAATAATAACATGCGACCTGATAATACAGAAGCGCCCCAAGGTGTAGTCAAATTGTACAAGGAAAAAGTTGTGAAAAAAAGATATCCCGACAACTGGGGGCCCATCGCATTTAAAAAGAAACGTAGCTCCGACTTAGAAGACCAGCGACTAAATTATGAAGAAAATAAAAATCATAATTACAATGCATATGATTTAGCCGATAATGATAACAACGACATGCAAGAAGAGTATGCAATCGCTTTTCAACCAATTGATGATGACCGGCTATCCGAAATTTTAGATGATGATCAGTATCCTTATGATGCAATTGAAAAGCGCTTTCCAGTCACGAAGCGTAGCAGTGGACCCTACATCAGCCCTCAACAGAAAAGGTTTGCGCTCAATCAAAGCAAACGAGATGTACCAAAAAATTTTAGAAGTAACGTTGGAACAGATCCGAAAGTTTTAAGAGATCTATCTAAAATTTTCGGTGAACCTGAGTCGGAAATCATTAAAAACCCAGTAAAAAGGAGTAGCGATCATGATGAAACCTCTCACGAGATTAAACCACCTAATCTCACTATTTTAAGCCACAACGATACCCATCAGCACAATGTTACACACGATGAAGAGGACAGTCATGAGCAACATAGCCACCCAATTCATCATCCAGGTTTATCTGGAAAGAAAATTGAACATGATTCCGGTCATGATCATCATTTGGACCATGATCATGATCATGATCATGATCATGATCATGACCACGACCATGATCACGATCACGCACATAATCACAGTCACGGTCACTCCAAAAGCCATGTCCATGAACATGATCATGATCACAGCCATGATCATCACGAACACGAGAAAGCTGAAAAACCCTTGAAAATCAAAAAGAAATCCATAGACTGGTCCGATTATTTTGGAGTTGATAAGCGGTTCAAGAAATCTGTTTCGTTTGTTAATGATTTAAATCAAGATAGACTCAGGAAACAGTATTTTGATACATTCAATAGGGAAGTCATCAATCCTGTGAACTCATTTCGTAAACACACTAACGTAAAGAGAAACTTTATTCAACCAAAACCGAATGAAGAAACTGAAATTCAGATAGATCACACCCAGGCTGTCGCTATCCGTAACGACAATAAACGAAACACTGCTTTAGACAATGATTCTAAACTAGACAATATTGACAAAAAATTGCGAAACATGGAGGGTTTGATTGTAGACGAAGCTCTACACTACTCTAATGTTGGCGAAAAACTAGATTCAAAAGAGGAACAAGAAATGAAAGAAAAATTACTGTCTCGCTTGGCCGCTGCTTACAGTTTAGAGAAAATGAGAAAAGCTTTAAAAGAATTTAAGCAAAGTTTGCAAACACAGAAAGCAATAAATATGAAACTGTCAGCCGGTAATGATGAAACGAAAACTAAAAGGGTTGCAGTAAAAAAGGAAAAGGCTATTTCTACTACCAATGATGTGGCCAACTATCTTAATAACGATGATAAAATTGATGATTTCCAAGACGAACAAGGTGCTGGTCATTATTTGAATGGCAAAATCGAAGAACAGCTTTCGGAAGGTTATATGGGTGGCAGTGGACGACATCGTATGCCAATTATGTCAAATGGTAAATATACTCTGTTTTATAAACGTGCACCATGCAAATAAAAAAAAACTGTATTAAAATGCTATTTTTCCAGTTGGTTCGACAGGCCCATGTCCGGTTCTTGCGAAGATTATTCAAAGGTGCCGCGGTGTTGATTTATTGGCCGGAGATCGAGGACAGCTCTTCCTTACTCATTGCAGTCTTCATCAAATCTGTTATTTATGCGTAAGATTCTTTTAAGAATTTTAATAAAGATTTTCAAGTCTATTATTAAGCACCTTTATTCAAAATATGAATTTATTTCAGGGCGAAGCGGCACCAACGACTTGCGATTTAGTTTTCCTATCCGAAGCTGATACAACTTGTGAAGGCGACACGAATTGCCAACGTGCGGCGCGCTCCACTTTAATGGCTCTTCGGGAGCTGCACGACAACCTCACCGATGAACTGGACGGAGAATGCGAGGCCAGCCCCTGTCTTGCAGCTACTTTAAAACTAAACAACGGTTGGCAAAGAGCACTCCGACGTTAGATATTCGGTTGGAAACTTTGCAATCACGATATGATCATGGCATGATCCCATGTTGACCTATGCCCGAATAACTTTTGAAAAAGTAGATGGTTCTGGGTCGATTCGTAACTTCGTAACCAGGACATTCGTTAATGTTATTTTTTAAATATTATTAAGTAACAAACTATTTGGGAAGATTTTATGATAGTTGTATTTTTTCTAAAGATCACCTTACTTATTTGTCCTTCACGAATATGTTTTTTTTAAATTATCCATCCGTGTCTAACCAGCCATAGACACGCATGGAGTTAAGAATGATCTCATTACTCGTACTAGGAATAATATACTAAATATAATATTTATGCGAAGATCTATGCTTTCGTTGTTATATTATTAATGGACATGTTCCGCATGTCGTATGAACATTATGCTAAGTACGTTTTGACGATTCTATCTTATGTCATCTAACAGTATAAAAGTGTAAATGGATCAGCATAAAAGAGGAAAACTTTCATAAATTCGTAGGTTGATGTTTATGCGTGTATTGAAAAAATACTTTTATCGTTGTTGAATATTTACTTAAAAAACGATTGAATACTTGTTTTAAATATGTCAACGTATGTTTAAGATTTAACATTATTGAACAATGTAATTTCAATATTTATCTTTGTGTATGTGAGTTATATATTAAAGTTATAAAATATTACTTGATAATATACATTTGGCTATATATTTATGTTAATTTCTTTACAATGTTAAAGTAAATATTCAGAATGAAATTTTAAATGAAAAATTAAAAGCTTTCTCAGACGCTTTGCGATTGTGATATCATCCAGGAAATTAAGTTGAAAATCTCCGAAGGCTGTAGCACAACTTAGCTCTAATGCACCAGTAGACTATACTAGGACAATAAAGATATTTCGCTTTCTACGACTTTATGTCACAATTAGGCAAGACGTCTGTCTATCGATATATAGTATCCATTTCATGTCTTCCGAAAATTGGCAAAATAAAGACTATAAATCGCGCAGTAAACTCACAAAAAGTAAAAAAAAACTTCAATGAAGCCTGATTCTTATTTAAAAGCATTGAATTTTAAAATAAGAAAAGTTTATGTACAATTAGATATGATCAATCTACAAATTATTGAAACTACAATTCATACATGAATGTTATAAATTTATTCGTATAATGTTCGAAAACATATAACACACTAATATAAATGGTTTACAATTAATTATTTCTTTTATTACCACATATCCATGTGTAATGGTTTATCCTTGGCGGAATTTCCAAACCGCTACGATTTAGGGTTCTTCAAGAATCGAGCGTATCACCATCTCAAAGGCCACCAGAGTATTGTCCTCTGGTATTGTCGTCGTCCACGGCGTTGATGAACATCCCGGTTTTCCCGCTACTAGTTTACCCCCTTCCCTGATAAAAAAAACAAGTACGACACTTCTTTTCAACAGCTTTTCTACAACACAATATCGTAATATACTATATACCGTAATATAACCAAAAATAAAAAAAGTTTACACAAATTCGGTTGATTTCAAATATTTGTTGTCGGTTTTTGTGACGAAAATCTTCGTTTAAAACATATTGCTGTCTCTATTTTGTCAAAGATAATGACAGGGATGGCGATATATTTTATAGAGGGATTACGGTCTCAAAACCATCGGTATGATGGCTAGAATAACGATATCAATGTAGTCGATAGTATTACAACGTCGATGTTGGAGTTACACTGATAATTCAGATTTATCAACACATTCAGTGATAAGACGCGAAGTACCGAACAACAGTGACGATAAACCATTCCGCTAATGTATTAGCAAACAAAATTGTTAGTAAGAAAATAAACAATATTGTTATGGAGACAAATACAGAAAGAAATGTTGAAGGAATCGACAACCCTACTGCTACTCAAGGTATTAAAAAACCCTTTAAATAAATTATTTGTAAGATATAGAGATATACATTTTGTTTGTTGATAAAATTCATAAAACTTCCAATTCCTGGAAATGAATGAAATGTCACATTATGAAAATTCTACTAAACTATTACACTTTTATTAAAAAAACTATCAACTATCCCAATTCACTTTCTTTCGCAATATTTTGTTTTTCGCTATAGATGAAAATTATACAAATAAATATAATATATGAAACCAATTTATAAGGAACTTATAACGCGGAGTGTCTGCAACTTTCTTAGCAATTTTTATTCCCGAACAAGCGAAAATATTAATTTTATAATTATTTTTACATGAACGTTTCCTTATAGTAATGAATGAACCAATTTACAGATGACGGTAACAAATTAAGGCCCGATCTCGTTATAAGCGTACAGCCACAGTCACAAGCACAAGGTAATTTAATATGAAACAATTACTTTCAAAATAATAATTAGTAATGGAACAACTGCATGACGCCGGTAGGCCATATCCTTGTATTTAAGTGGCTTACATTTTCACTTGAACTGCAAGATGTAGAACCGACTAGAAGAAACATTCTGTTGATATTTCAGAGAGCGGTCGAGCTGAATTACCCGTGTCCACGGTGAACTGGCATTCCCGTAGCGGTGGCCAATTCATTCCTATGCACGGTCTTGACTTCCTAATCGGCACATCCAGTCTTGTTATACAACAAACTGTGGAGCTTAATGATCGTGAGTTAGACATTATTTCTTTTGATTTAAAATTTTAAAAAATATTGTATTATGTACAAATTCGACGAAGCATGACATGGAGCTCCGACAGTTCCGGATCTAGTCTGTGCCGTCATAGGACGATTATACGAGATTTAAGCCGTTCGTAATTATTTTATGAATGTTCTCGCTAATTTCTCCGTAAACTGAACGTCGTTTTGAAATAGAAACATATTTTCAGTTACATCAAAAATCGATTCTGAAAATCGATATATTATTCGAGTGCCAAACGGCGAGGCGCTATACTTCGCTAGTGAGGTGTCGACATCGACACAGCGATGTCTTTGCGGCACAGGGCGGGCGTTCGTCATGCATCTCCATGACAACACACGCCAGGAGGCTATGGTGCTCAGGCGGCGGCTAGCTGGGGCTTCCTGCTTCTTCCCTTGTAGGCTACAAGTATGTTCTTTTCCTTTAAAAAAAAACTACTATTTAATAGTTTTTTTTACTACTTTTATAACTTATTTATGTTAGGCCTTCCACAATGCACAATATCTGTTTTACATTCAAATTTTTCAACGACCAAAGGAATGCAGTACAGTTATACGAATGCTTAGATACCGTTCGGATTAAGTTCCTTAATATGACTTGAAAGGATTTTAACTGTTAATTGACAATATTATTAAATTTATAAGTATAAAATTTTAAATTACTACATGGTCAGTACGCAGAGCGCTGCTACACTGGTTAGGCGCATGCAGACTACTTACTTAATACGACAATATCTATATTTATAAAATATATAATATAATATTTTTACCTTTGCGTGTTATAGGAGATGAAAGTAGTAACACCTCCGGGCAACTACGTGGGTCGTGTGCACCAGCAGTGGTCCTGGATGGTGCCATTCTACTTGGTGCGCGACGCTGATGACTGCGTACTTTTCGTAATTGAAGGTCCTGCATCCTTGAAGAGGAGCGCGCTTATGTTGTCGGAATTTAAGGTATGTTTATAAATATTTTCAACTACCGACTGCAAGTTTGGTTGAAGCTATTCGTTAAATATGTAAAAATATGCATCCGAACAACACTCAACCAAATTTCTTCTTCTTCTTCTGCTAGCTCTACAGCCCTTTGTGGGCCTTGGCTTGGTCCAGCAACTTTTTCCACCTCGGTCTATCTCTGGCCACGGACTTCCAGTTTGCTATGCCCCACCAAATTTAATATATATTTTTTAAATATGTTACACACATGTGTCATAATTTTTTAATGTTTCAGATAATGTCAGGAGATTCGTTGCGTGAAACGGGAAAGATAACCCACGGTTGGGATCGTGAGTTGGTGAACTTCACAACTACCCTTGTGTTTCCAGAGACTGCGGTGCAACCCAAACACAAGGCACTTTTACTTGCTGCAGCTTTCTTGATGGTATTTTTGTTTTATTTATGTCGGTCAGACGACCACATAGACCTTGACAACCAGATTTGTTATCTTTGCAAATCTTAATGAAACTTCATTTTTTAATAGTTTACCAAAACAAATATAAAAGTGAATATTTGTGTCTGTTTCAGGAATACACTTATTTTGAAAGGGCTAAGTCAAGTTGCATGCGATTCAACTGCTTTTAAAAGGTCGTTAAGGACAAACGTTAAAAATATTTGTACTTTTATATTATTTAGCATTTATTATTAAACCAAATAATGTTTTTTACGTATTTAATTAATTTGTCAATCTCCCAATCCTGTACCTCATCCTCAAAAGTTACAAATTAGTAAGGGAAATCAGTACGACGAAAAAGCGAAGGGCACCAAATATCAAGAGTTAATCTGGTAGTATACTAATCTAAAAATGTATATTTAATACAATACAACAACATTCTGTACCTCATTAATGAACTTGTGACGCAAAAGCCAGGGAGCTAAAACTCGCTCTGTGATTGGCTCCCGCGTTTTCTCGCGCCAAAGACAGGGCGCGAACACTAATTGTCAATTACAAAGACTGACGAGACTGAATTAATTATAATACTTTGGCTCTTTTATTTAATATATTCGTGCATCGTAATATTTATTTTATTATTCTTGCTGATGTTATCAACGCAGTCAACATTGTGACATCACGTTCATGGGAATTCGTTTACTGAACTAAGAAAACCCATAAACTTATTGAATATTGTCATACAACTGTCATATTGTATTTTATAAGATCTTGTCAGTTAAACAATTTGAATTGTAATGTATTTGTTATAATTATGCTTATTCTCGATTTTATACAAGATTTATAATTTTTATAATCTTTACCTATGTCACAACATTTTTGTGGTACAATTAAATGTAAATCTTGGCCATATGAGCAATATTACATCGGAAACAAAGACGAGGAAAATAGAAGAAATGGCGATGGTGAGAACCACTGGACGGGAGCGAAGGTAACTTTAATATCACTTTGTGTACGCACCAGGAAGATAAAAAAACATAGCAATATGTATTCGCACTTTTCCCGACTTACGATTCCGCAATTCAGCATTCAGTGCCAAGTCTTTGACATAAAATAACCACCGACAATAATACTTATGACCTTTAAAATAGATTTAGTAGCGTAATCAAAGATATTTTAGTTAATATTAACTGTGATAAATTAAGTAGAAATTTAATTCCTGTGTACACTTTTCTTTGATACGTTTTACGTAATAAAGACACAATTACCGTTGTTTAATTATAGTCATTGGAGAGATATTCTGGTCAATTCTTACGTGACACAATGCATGGCTTAGGAGAATACTTTTGGCGATATATTGACAAAGAAGGCGCCTTTTTCACATACGAGGGACATTTTTATTGCAACAAACTGCACGGCTACGGAACCCTGTCCTATCCAGATGGACGCGTCTTCAATGTTAGTACATTACGCTTAGTTTTTTTTTTATATTACGCTTTACGTAGTACTTTTATGAAATTAATTTCTTTTGAATTATTTAGGGTTTATTTTACTACAACTTAAAATTGGGACCAGGAATTGAATCATGCCTAGACATTCGGCAAAACGTTGGTCTTTGGCTCGGCGACCAATTAGTACGACTAGCTTGGATACCACCTACATACAGCATGATTCTTAATTTAAATTCAACTAATACGGGTCGAGCTTGCGTCGATGCACAAAGAACTTTATTGACAACATGTACCAAAACCGTAAGTCCATTGTAAATAAGATTATTATCATGACCCTACCAATACTAAGGTATTCCTTAAGTCTAGAATAATATTTTGGGATTATAATTATCTCGATAAAATCTTACAAATATTTAATTTCGTAGTGTAATGAAAATACAGCCAAAGAACTTTTGATTCAATACGGCTTAGATTCACAAACAGCTGATAAGAAATGGCCGAAACTATACCCAAGAAATTGCACGGACATCACAAGCCCAGTGTTTTGCCTTGAGTTATTCGACAGTGTCTACTACGCATCAACAGACCACAATATTTTAATAGAAAATACAAAGAAAGAAAAGGTTTGAAGCAACTAACAGTACTTAAAAATTATGTTTTTATATTTCAATGAAATTAACGTTTAACCAAAGGTTACAGAAAGCACTGAGAATATCGAAGAAAATAAAACTTATTTTTCTTGGAACAATAATAGTATCATAAAGCATATGATGCAACATGCGTTTGCGCATGATCATCAACGATCTAATTTCAGTATAAAAATGTCAAGTATACTGACTGATTCTAGAAAAAATTTAAAACCACCAGCAAAGCACGAACAGGATTGCAGGTTTAAGATGACTTTGTAATTTATTGATTTAAAATTATTTCTGAATTTAATCTCATGAAAATAATCTTATAATGTCGTAGAACTTTATTAATGGCCAGTTACTTGGGTTATACGGAAAAAGTGGTTCAACTTATAAATGAAAACAATATCCATCTAGATTTAACTGATATTCAGGGCAATAACGTACTGATGTACGCTGTGGTAAATATAAATTTAAATGCAATTAAAATAATACAAAATCGTTCACCTAACTTTTTTATTTTTTTCTTTAACAGTGTGGAGATCATATAGAAATCATACATTTTCTTGTTGACGCCGGAGCTAATATTGACAATTATAATGATTGTTGTTGCACTGCCCTTTGCATTGCTATTATACGTTACGTTTGTGCGTATCAAAATATTTCTATTAGAGCCATGACCCAAGCACTCATACCAGAAGCAAGCTTGCTACCGAATCGTAAGATAATATCCGATTTAATATTTTCCAATTTCAATAAAGAGGTTGTATGCTTACCTTTAATTTTATATTCCATCGTACTTTCCAGCGGCTTTAGAAAATGTCTGTGAATGGTATTTAGAAAAGAATATATCGTCTCCCCAGAAACTTAACGGTCTCGCGAAAAATCCGAGTAAAATTTTAAAACCTCAAAAGAAAACAAAATCTATGATGTCACTAAAAGATCAATTTAGAAAAACTCTAACAAACTTATCAGTGCAAGATACAACTTTAGATAAAGGAGATGCCGATATTGAAAATAGTGAAGACGTATTTATGTCAATTTTAGATGAGTATGTGGCAAACGTAGCAGAGTTATTCTCAAGACCTACATCTGGAAGCAATATTTCATACCTTTTTGCAGTCAATGACATTACCAATGAGATGTTAGATAATGAAATGGAAGAGCAAAAGAAAACTACTGATAAAAACGCTAAAAAGGGAACTCCAGTTCCAGCTAAAGTACCCAAATCGACAAACGATATTCCTCAACAAAAGGATACCACTGGTTCAGCGAATTTCACAGATAGAAGTGAAAATGAAATGTAGATTTTAAACGGTTCTTTTTACTGATGGGTGATTGTTTAATTAAGAACTTCTTCTAATTTCCATATCTTTCCTTTTCTCAGCTGCCAAAGAATGTTATCTACAATAGTGCAGTTACTGTCAGATGGAGCTGATCCAAACCTCATAAAATGTCCGCAGCCAGCACTTTTCATGGCCGTAGCATCAGGAAGTAGTGTTTTAGTGCAGCACTTGATCGACCATGGTGCTAATATAAATGAATGTTATTCACATGTAAATTACTTTTACCACTTCATATCTCGCCCTTATCTTTTTTTTATTTTTTTTTATTTAACAATACAATTTTGAATACAAATAAACATATAACGCTAAATAAACCTCATTGATTTGTTACAAGCGTTAAGGTCTTCCGGACACCGGTTTTGAGCTTGCACTTTATGTTTTTTCGTGAGAAACATTTAATCAAATCTGAGGGTAGTTCGTTCACCAATCTAGGAACGATGTAACTTGCAGTGCGCTCAACGATGATATTAATTATTTTTATTTTATTTAGGTGTTTGGATATTCACCAATTGATATAGTTATTTCCTATCAATTTTCAATGGATAATTTGAACGTTATACGTACGTTACTCGAAAACGGTGCGGATGGCACACATCGTCTGCCATTCAAGCCTCGAGATTCTACGGAATTCATAACACCAGGACCAACTCTTCTACATGCGGTATTAACGAAGGCAGTTGATGGTCCCATGGAAGAAGAGGTGAAACTTTATAAAATTTTATTTACTAGACTATTTTATTTATTTTATCAAACGAATATATCCAAGTATTTTTTTAGTTTTTTGATAAATATTCATTTTTTTAACAGATTCGTCGGGAGATTATTGATCTTCTCCTAACTTACAATTGCAGTCCCATAGAACAATTTAATGGTCGGTCAGCAATAGACATAGCGATGTCAAAAGGAGCTGATGTCTTTGATGTATTCATAAGTCATTCGAAAGTTGACCTTAACGAAGTTATTAATCAATCTAAGCAAACAATATTAATAAAAATGTTTGCATTATCGTTTTTTAAGACATTCGAAGCCAAGGAGCGTCTTGAAATTGTATGTAAACTGAACTATCAGTACTATGACAAACATTTTTAGTTTTTTTTTTAAGTTTAATAATTTTACATCGAATCTTTTTAGTTGACAAACTTATTACTGCGAGGTGCTGACCCTTTTAGACCTTGCCAAAATGAAGCAGAAGAATTTGATAACTTTTTCGTATACGCAAGGAAGTTTCTCGATGGACTCGACAGCTCGGATGTTAAGCATAGTCCATCTGGTTAGTACTTCATACGCTTACTCTTTATCTCTATTTTTAAGTGCTAGGGAATAGAGCACGTACTTAAAATGGAACGTATTTATGATTTACAAACTTTATCTTATCCAATACGATCCAAGACTAAAAACATATCATGTTACTTTTTATTAAATCTAGCATATTTACTACAAACTATCTTTTAAGAAATCAAATTCTTAAATTTTTTCATTAGTAAGTAAACATGAACAAAAAGTGAAAAAGAATGGTAAATCTAACGTTGACAAAGGAGTGTCAAAGCAGAAGGCAATTCACACCGATATTGATGAATATAAACTGGCGTTACATCTCGTTATGGATCTGGCTCGACTCTCGCACGTTCGTTGGCTACGAGCAAAATTCGTTAATGAATTAATCAAGACTATTAACAAGTACGATATCGGTATTATTATATTACTAATATTATAATTGCGAATGTTTGGATGGTTGGATAGATGGATATTCATTTCAAGGTCTCTCCAGAACAGTCTGGAAAAACACATAGGCTACATTAGTACTTAATTATAAGTGTTCTTTTTTATTTCCGCGCGGACGGACTCGCGGG